TGTGTGTGTGAGAGAGATTGTGTGTGTGTGTGCGTGTGTGTGTGAGTGTGTGTGTGTGTGTGTGTGAGTGTATCTGAGTGTGTGTGATCGTGTGTAAAGCAGGTCTGGGTTTGCTGCTCAGGGCCAAGACATCTGTCTTTATTTTTGTAACCCGTGCATCGCTTATTTTTATTTCTCTGCCTGTTTGTCAGACGTGATATCCACTAACACATGAACCAAAATTATAATTCTAAAATGATGTAACTGATTAAATTGTAAAAGTTATTTAAATATGGGAATGACGTGATTGAAACATGTGACAACTCTTTTAACTATTAAATATAATATATATATATATATATATATAAATAGTTTATCAAAAATAATTATAAAAACATTTTGTATGATATTTTTGACATACTATAATTTTTTCAATAATTGAAAGTTTCAGTAGGCCTAGTTAAAACTTAAATAAAATAATAATAAAAACTTAAATATTGTATTAGATTTGTATATATACAAATTTAATATAAATTTCAAGTTTTTAAATTTTGTATATTTTAAATATTGTGTATTATATTATATAAAATAGTATATACATTTTTTTAATAAAAACTGAAATCTTGTATGAATTTGTGTGTTTTTTTAATTTTTAATATATATTTTTTTCAATAATTGTGTGTGCGCCTTTGTATGTTGTTTAGACTGTAAATAAAACAAAAGATTATTGCAGTACATTTTACAAATAAATACATTTACATACAAATACATACATATTTTTATTTTTCTGCCTATTTTTCAGATGTGAAGTAACACTCAATTCTACAATAAGGCCTACATGACAGATTAAATTGTAAAAGTATTTTACTCACTAATTGTGTGCGCTAAATATTTTTATGCATTATATATTGTGTAGGGATTATATTTTTTGTAGACTGCAAAAATGATTTTTTTTTGAAGTTCTAAATAAATCAGTTATAAATAAAAGATTCCTGGAGTACTGTTTCAGTACTTCGAAATGTCACGTTTTATTATTATTTATGAAATTTACAAGCGATTTCGAAATCAAAAGTGTTTCAGAGTAAATCATTTCTGTTAGTGTACAGTAAAAAAGACTTCAGTAAGTAAAGATTATTGGAGTAGAAAATACTTTTTCAGTTCTACTCAATTATTTGTGAAAGTTTCCTAGCTTTATTCAGTGAAACCCTACCTATTTGTTCGTTCATTTTTCTTTCTAAATGCATGCTGGTGCTATACAGTAGTTAATATATATATATTTTTTTCAATAATTGTGTGTGCGCCTTTGTATGTTGTTTAGACTGTAAATAAAACAAAAGATTATTGCAGTACATTTTACAAATAAATACATTTACATACAAATACATACATATTTTTATTTTTCTGCCTATTTTTCAGATGTGAAGTAACACTCAATTCTACAATTAGGCCTACATGACAGATTAAATTGTAAAAGTATTTTACTCACTAATTGTGTGCGCTAAATATTTTTATGCATTATATATTGTGTAGGGGAAATATTTTTTTTGTAGACTGCAAAAATGATTTTTTTTTGAAGTTCTAAATAAATCAGTTATAAATAAAAGATTCCTGGAGTACTGTTTCAGTACTTCGAAATGTCACGTTTTATTATTATTTATGAAATTTACAAGCGATTTCGAAATCAAAAGTGTTTCAGAGTAAATCATTTCTGTTAGTGTACAGTAAAAAAGACTTCAGTAAGTAAAGATTATTGGAGTAGAAAATACTTTTTCAGTTCTACTCAATTATTTGTGAAAGTTTCCTAGCTTTATTCAGTGAAACCCTACCTATTTGTTCGTTCATTTTTCTTTCTAAATGCATGCTGGTGCTATACAGTAGGAAGCTGTCTATGTATCACGTGACTCTGTAACTGTGGCCCTTTTGGTCCTTCATCCCCCGTCTGAACTGTGCTTATTGTAAATAAATGAGTTCCTGTAAAGCAGGCAGTCGCTGGTCAACACGTTTGCGTTTATTTACGATGGTGCCAACTTTGAAAGTCGTCTTCCTTTAGCACAGGAAGTGGTGGCTTCTGCACCGAGCGTGATACTTTGTCACATTATCTCTGCGCTGAAAGTCTGCAGACATGCGGCAGCAGTTGTGGTGGAGAGTGAATTGTAATAATTTGATTGCTGATTGACTCGGAGCGAATCGAAAGTGTGTCAGTGAGGTTTTAAAAGGACAGATCAACTTCAGCTGCAATGCAGTCTGAACTCTGAGTACTGTTTATGTTTATTGAGCATTAGCAGCTTTTGTGATGTTGTTGCTGAAGTTTTAGAAGTCACTGAAAGCTTATTAAAGTTTATTAGTATTTGCAGATACACAGCACTTAACAAAGAAATGCATATAATCTGTATTGTCTTTCAGAAGGTTAAGATTTGTTAATGTTTTAGAAAGAAGTTTCTTCTGCTCACCGAGGCTGCATTTATTTGATCAAAAATACAGTAAAAATTTTACAATATTATTGCAATTTAAAACAGCTGTTTTCTATGTGAATATGTATTAAACTGTACTGTATTTCTGTGATGCGCAGCTGTATTTTCAGCATCATTCCTCCAGTCTTCAGAGTCACATGATCTTCAGAAATCAAGAAACATTTCTGATTATTATCAATGTTGAAAACATCAAATATTTTTTGTGGAAACTGTGATACATTTTATTACATTATAAATGTCTTTACGGTCACTTTTAATCAATTTAATGCATCCTTGCTGATTAAAAGTATTAATTTGTTTAAAAAAAGATTCTAAATTCCCGTTATAAATATCAGTCTTTTTGATTCAGTGGGAGTTTCTACACATTTCATCATATGTTCAATATGCTTTTAAAATGATTTCTATATTGGTTCATGCATTGATCAAGCAACAGAGGTCGAGTTTTATAAACATAATCATGTAGAATTATTTTCAAGCTTAAATATCAAGCTTTAGGTGTTTGCAGTTTATTTGCATTTTGTTTGTCTAGAAAGTGTTTCGGTGTTTATTAGTTCCCTGATGCCTTTAAAGGGACAGTTCACACAAAAATTAAATTTTTGGCAAGTTGTTCCAAACCTCTATTAGTTTGTTTCTTGTGCTGAACTGAAAAAAGATATTTTGAAGAACGTTGATAACCAAACAGTTGCTGGTCCCCATTGACTTCCATAGTATGGAAAAAAATACAATGGAAGTCAGTGGGGACCAGAAACTCATACAGTTTTTTTTTCTTTTGTTAAACATAAAATAAGATATTTTGAAGAATGTTGGTAAGCAAATAGTTGATGGTCCCCATTGACTTCCATTTTTTTTTTCTCATACTATGGAAGTCAATGGGGACCATCATGCAACACCTCGAGAGTGAACAAATTCTGTCATCACCTTACTTTCTTGCGTTGAACACAAAAGAAGAAAGTTTGAAGAATGTTGGCAACCAAACAGTTGCTGGTCCCCATTGACATCCATAGTATGGAAAAAAATACAATGGAAGTCAATGGAGACCAGATACTCAAAACAGGTTTGGATCAAATTGAGGGTCAGTAAATGATGACAGTTTATTTTATTTTGTTAAACACAAAAGAAGATATTTTGAAGAATGTTGGTAAATGGTTAATGGTCCCCATTGACTTCCATAGATGTTTTTTCTCATAGAAGTCAATGGGGGCCATCATGCAACACCTCGATGGTGAAAAAATTCTGTCATCACTTACTATTGCTTGTGTTGAACACCAAAGAAGATATTTTGTTGGTGGTCCCCATTGACTTCCATAATAAGGAAAAAATACAATGGAAGTCAATGGGGACCAGAAACTCATTCAGGTTTGGAACAACACGAGGGTGAGTACATGATGACAGATTTGTAATTTTAGGGGTGAACAGTCCCTTTAAGTGTTTAGATGTGATGCACAGCACTAGTTTAAGTTGTTATTAAACTAGTTTCCACGCCGTTGTCCCGCAGGCGACCCGTGTGAAGAGGCTTTACGCTGGCTGGGACGAAGCACTCGGCGGATCTGGATAGACTGACGGTGTGCCGCCGGAGAGCATGACGACGGACGTGGTGATCGTGAAGGAGGGATGGCTCCACAAGCGAGGTGCGTTCACGCTTTAGCACGACTCGATCGGCTCTGATAGCGTGCTGAACTCTAGCTTTGAGCTCCTGGAGGCAGAGAGCGAACAGGGGAAGAGCGAGTTACATGAGAGAACAGAGCGGCTCACAATGGCTCAAACGCGGTCCCTTCAGGCTGTTTTCACACGCAGACAGCTGAAGCTCCAGTAAACAAGTCACTAACGCATCAAGAGTGCTGACAGAGTTCATGACGAATCAAAGATTCATTTGATCGCCTGAATCTGGAGTTTCCCTGAAAGGTTTGGGACATTTTGAGTTCATGTTCCTGAACACATACACAACCATTTAAAGTCTGCATGATCATAAATTCACCTTATTTACTTTCTGAATACCAAGAATGATTCATAAGTGATGTTATTCAAAAGACTAAATGTGTTGTTAAGATTAGTTAATGCATTAGCTAACATGAACTAACAATGAGCAATATATTAAAGCATTTAGTAATGTTAGTAAAAGTATAGTAGTTCATGTTAGTTCACAGTGTATTCATTAGCTTTATTGCATTTTAATAATGCATTACTAAATGTCAAAATTATAATAGTAATAATACTACTACTATTAGTAATAATACTAAATACATTTAAAATACTAATAACATTATATATCAAATTAATAATATAAATTATTCCAAATTAAATTGTAGGGTTATTAAAGTTGACTAACAATGAGCTAATTATATATATATATAATTTAAAAGCATTTGTTAATTTTTGTTGTCAGTATACATATAATTGTTGATGTTCACAGTTCATTAATTAATTTTAATTTAAAAGTCAAAATACTACTAGTACTACTACTACTACTAATAATACATGAATAATAAGTAAATATATTTATTTAATTAATAACTTAATAAAATACTAAGAAAATGTATATAATATAAATTAATTATAATGCTTTAGAAGTATTGTTCATTGGAGGGTTACTGCAGTTAACCAAACTGTAATTAAAATTAAAACCATTAAAAAACATTATCGTTACATGAAATAAAATAAATGTTAACTGAAATAAAATAACTGAAAAAATATTTTTTATTTTAATTTGGTTTAACTTGATGTACTAAAATAACTACAACTAAATATAACTAAATAAATATTTAAAAAAAAAAAAAAAATACTAAAACTTTAACTAAAATGAAAATGAAAACAGAAAATATAAAAATAAAAATATTAATAAAAACTATAATATTATTTCAATTATACATTGTTAGTTCATGTTAACTAATGTAGCCACTAATGTTAACAAATTAAACCTTATTGTAAATTTTTACCAACAAAATAATTTTTCATTAAAATTGTAATAACTTGCTCCAGCGTCATTTTGACATTGTCTGCCATATAGAGATGCTTTTCACCATCCGATCAAGTCTGCATAAATAAAATCAACTCTTTACTCATTGAATGTGCTGTTTCACTCTGAAATACGTCACATCAGGTTAGAAAAATGGGTTATGAGGAGCGTTTCCCCTTTAAATGACTGCTCTAGATGTGGAGGTGATCAAACACTCTTTGACTCTTTTTGTCAGCGCTGAGGATGTGAGTGTGTGTGTGTGTGTGTGTGAGTGTGTGTGTGTGTGTGTGTGTGTGTGTGTGTGTGGGTGTGTGAGTGTGTGTGT